CTTGACCCTGGTAGGCCTACTGGGAGACATCCCACCTAGGGGCGTCTGACACCACCCCTTTCACAGGGTGGGAGTTACAGCCTGAGCGGAAGCCTCCAAGCAGATCAGGGAAGGTCACTCCGCTGTTCCGCACTATTCTATCTTCTGCAGCCTTCTGGCTGCTGGACAAACATGGCACACAGTCTGGGCATGTTGACTCAAGCATCTTCGACAATGACCTACACGGCTGAGGGTCCTGACGGTTAGAAGGAACTCTCAAACAGGAGGACACCGACCCCAAAGCCCCATCAGTACGTCACGCATTCATCATTCAAGACCAGCGGCAGATAAACCACAAGATGGGGGGAAAAAGCGGGCAGAAAAGCTGGGAAATTCCAAAAATACAGAGCGCGTTTCTCCCCCCGGCAAGGGTGGCAGCTCAGTCGCACAAGAAAGCTGTGGTGAGGAATGCCTTGACGAGATGGGGAGAAGGCTTCACGGTCCGATTCAAACTTTCTCAGAGGCTAAGGGGGGATACTGGTACCCAGCACAAAGAAAGCTAGATTGCTTGACAAAGGTGGAAGAAACTTTATGCTAGAGTTAATTACAGAGAAGGGTCGTAAACGAATGAGAGATTGAAAAAGACCGATGACACGAAAAGTGATGTGACAATGCACAGGCTTCGTAACGACTCGATTACTTGAAAAGAAAGGTATCAAGCGGGCTGGAGGCTCAAATGGCACGAAATGACTGCGAGAGAACCAAAAGAAAAAGGGAAGGAAAGAATGACCAAACGCTGGCAAGATTATGTTAAAGCCATCTAACGGGTGTTTGCTTTGGGGTGCGCTGAAAGGGTTGAGGGGATGGACCAGTGGACACCTCTTTTAACTCTTATTCATTCCTCTGAAACAGGACAAACATGTAGAAGATTACCATTAAAACTGTGTTCTCTTTAGAATCTTGGATCTTGGGGCACTTTCCACAAGTCTTCACCTCAGTTATTTATTACTTTGTTTTGTTTTTGAGACAGAGTTTTACTCTTTCACCCAGGCTGGAGTGCCATGGTGGGATCTTGTCTCACTGTAACCTCCGCCTCCTGGGTTCAGGCGATTCTCCTGCCTCAGCCTCCTGAGTAGCTGGGATTACAGGCGCATGTCATGACACGTAGTTAATTTTTGTATTTTTAGTAGAGTCGGGGTTTCACCATGTTGGCCAGGCTGGTCTCAAACTCCTGATCTCAGGTCATCCAACTGCCCCAGCCTCCCAAAATGCTGGGATTACAGGCATGAGCCACCGCGCCCTGCCTATTCATTACTTTGATACTCTTAAAAATAGAGTCTAAGGGTTTCTGGTTCCTTTTTATGGAACATAGTGTTGGGGAAAAATCTCGTCTCCAGCAATGAGCATTAGGTGATTCCACATAATTACTCATAATTATAAAAAGTCTTGTCATATATCAGTCTTCTTTTTAAAAAAGGAATATGGTAATTTCTAATTTACCTTTGGTTACATTTAAGTTTATTTTGCTCTGGTAATTTAATTCTACTGTCCCCTTTCTTTAAATTTTAGTGCTCCCAATCTTTAGGTTTTTCCTGTGTGAGATACCATCGAGAGTATAAAATGAAGTATGTTCTTCCTGTTGCTTTCTCTTTTCTGATTATGACCAATAGTAATCTACTCAATCATTGAAAGGAGAAACCTTTTCCTTGACTTCTTCCTTTTGTCCCCTGAATTATACCTGTCCTCTTAGTCACCAAGTCTTACAGATGCTATTCCTAAGTCTATCTCTAATTTGTTCTTTCTCATTCATATCCTCTACTACTACTTTAAGTATTCATCACTTAGCAACTGGACAATTATCTAACATGTTTATTTTTGGAAAACCAGAAATTATAAATAAGCAAAATAAAAAGCTAAAATTTACCTATAATTTCATCCTTCATGTATTATCACTTCTTATTTTTAATCAAAATCAATGTAAACCATACTATCTTATTGGACATTTCACTCAATACAATATTATACAGATGCTCTTCAACTTACAATGAAGTTACATCCTAATAAATGTATCATAAGTTGAAAATGCATTTAACACACCTAACCTATTGGATATCATAGCTTAATCTAGCCTAGCTTAAACGTTCTCAGAATACTTATGTTATCCTGCAGCTGGGCAAAATCTAACACAAAACTATTTTATAATAAAGTGTAATTTATTGAATACTATACTGAAAGTGAAAAACAGAATGGTTGTATGGGTACTCAAAGCATGGAGCTGTCCTAGTTCTGGAGTCAGTTATTGTTGTGATGATATCTTAGTTTCTTCAGGCTGCTAAAGCAAAATACTTGAGAATATTTCTAATGAATAATCATTAGGAAATTATTTCTTACAGTTCTGGAGGCAGGGAACACCAAGATCAAGGCACCAGCAGATTCAGTGTCTTGTAAGGAAATACTCTCTACTTCAAAGATGGTGCCTTCTTACTACATCCTTACATGGCGAAATAGAGGGAAGGACAGCTCCCTTCAGCCTCTTTTATAAGGGCACTAATTCCTTTCATGAGGACAGAGCCCTCATGACTTACTCACTTCCCAAAGGCAAAACTTCTGAGTAATATCTCTTTGGGTATGTATTGGATTTTAACATAAGAAATTTTCAGGGATACCAACATTTAGACCATAGCAGATGACAAAGCCCAAGGAGAAAGCAGAATCAATACCCAAGTATCCTTGAATGGTCTGCCTTAGTTTTCTCTCAGCAGAAAACCCACGTGTTCTTCTTAGTATATAAATATTATAAATTTTGGTTTCATACTCTATTTGTGTCATATGCCTACCCCAGGAAATAGATATGAGTAAAGGGAGAAGGCCCATAATTTAAAACCCTCTATAGAAATTCCAGATCTGTCATTTAAAATTTAAAAATTCACTTTAGAGGAAAGAATATTCTGTAGTTTACTTTCTGGATAGTAACATCCTAGAGTTAATTTGTTTTAAAGTTAGGGATTGTTTTGTGACATGAATTAATTTCCTTGAGTTAATGGAATTTTCAGTGGGTTGACAGTGAGGCTGTTGGTCATACTGAGATAAATAGCCACTTTAGTAATTATGTAGTTTAGCTACACTTACAATTGGTTAGAAAGATGTACTGAGATAAGAGTCATAGGTTCAATTACCACATATAGATCGATTTTTAGCATCGTTACATGAGTATAGCCTATCCCTCAAAATACCTAAAAATATATGTTGCTATTTAAGAGTTGCTGGGCAAAATGAATAAATAGGCATCAGTAGAAATCTAGAACCTTCTGGGAGTACTTTAGTAAATGTCATTTTTACCTATGCAATATAGAATTAGTTCATCTGTAAGCCTCTGATATACTGATCTAATAACATTATGTTTGAATATCAGTATTGTCAGAAAATAGTGTGGCTTGCTATGTATGCAATTAGTCGTGTGACTCAAGTATCAAATTATTTTGTATGTAGTTCTTTCACAGATGTAATGAATTTTCTGTATTTCTGACCTAATCTCAGGCATAGGATTCAAAGACTTGCTTAGCAATATGCTGTGTCTTTTCCCATTAACTAAAGCATTTTACTTAAATACATAGCGTGTAGCAAACATGGTTGTGCTGAAGTAAAAATAATTACATTATTACATTATGTTTAGAGTTGTAAAAGTGTCTTTCTGTATAATCTTTGTTACTAATGTATATCTTGCATCTTAAATTATTATTAAACTAAGAATGATTATATCTGAACTTCATGAAGACATTGTTCTTTCTGCAAAATTTATAATCTCAAGAGACAGTATTAAGTGATTTATAAAGAAAGAAGTTTATACACATAGAATTTAAATGCTCTCACCTGAGGCCTATTTAATTTGTTAATTCATAGAAGAAAGACTTTTGAAAGATTTTTATAAGTATGGCAAAATTTGTGTCTACACATGAAGATGGAACCAGTCTAAGCAACTATAAACATAAATAGTTTACAATACTGATGTCCTTTCTGACCCATGACGATTGGATTCTTATACTTTTAATACTCATTTAGCTTTGAAATCATCATATGAATATAGTTCAATGAATAAAATCATTTCATTTTTGTCCTAAGCCATTAAAATATTATGAGATAGAACTTGTCAGCTACAATTGCTGAAAAGCATATGTTATTCCTCTTTGATTTTGGACTTTTCACCCATTGAACACTAATTTTTCTTCAAGAATTATGTACTTAAAATGTACTTATATGTGAAATAGGGTTCATTTAGTTAATGTAGGTGAGAGTTAATATGCTGGATATAATTAAGGGACAATTTTACATAGTGAGTAAAGTGTACTTCTTATTTAAAGCATAACATTGACTGTACAAATTTATTTATTTTCAACAACAACAAAAAACTCAAACCCACAACAAACTCTGGGTTGCATATTAATTGTATTGTACCTGTTTATATCCATTTCAAGGGCATTAGATGCAAGCCTAGTGGCATTATCAAACCAGCCTAGAAAATAACCATTTTATCACTTCCAAGCCAGCTAGGTCAAGCCTTCTTTTGATATTGGTTGCCTTGAATAGATACCATCAGTTGCAAAGCATGTAAAACATATAATATGTCCTGATTTTGAATGAGCTATGCATTGATCCTAGCCTTAGAACCCACTAATATATTTTTTAGTTATGCATAAAGAACAAAGGTATTATAGCATACTTAGTGATACTTTCAGATTTGAAATCATTTAGCAAATTCTGAAATAATTCTAAGAGGATCTGAAGATAACAGATGATCCTTTTTCAGTTTTATGTTGAATAGGTTCTCAGCTAAGCTATTAAAGTTTAATTTGCATCAGAAACAGTGTTATGAATACTAAAACAGTATGCATTTGAATTGAACTCCCTTAGAGTGTATCTGTGAAGTTCAGATGACTTTTATATACTAGTTCTATGATTTAAGGATGCATTGTCACATATTATTCTGACCTTTAATATCCTAATTATTCTCTTGTTTATTACAGCCTTAGTAGAATTACTTGAAAAATTTGTGCTTCATCTCACTGAAAGCCCGTCTGAATGCTATTTCCCTTCAGTGGAGTATACAGGTACATTTTTAACATTTTGAAGTTTGAAAAAGACTCAGTATATAACAAGATAATTAATGGAGATGTGTAATGATATTACAGATGTGCAGTTTTCTCATCCTAACAGACTCTTACTTGGTGCCATGTACATTCCAGATATCATTAAGCCTCTCTTCTTTGTAAATGTCTGGGTTTCCTTGTAACTCTGGGATTCTTTCTTGAGCTTTTTTTTTTTCTCTCTCTATCCACTAAAAGTTGTTTTGCCTTAAGCAATGTCTTCTACTCTTCTGATTCTATCCATTATTCTCCAGTGGTCTCCTCTGCTTATACCATTTACCTATCTCTCATATATTGATGATTTCAAAATTTACATCGTTCACTCAGAGATCTACTATAGGCTTTATTCTTGTATTTCCAGCAGCCTAATAAGAAACATCACCTGGATAATTCCACAGAATCCCTCAAACTCAGTATGTCTAACAAAAGATATATGCATTTGTCTGGGTCAGTGTGATAGGCATGCTAGCCTGTGTCCCGCAGCAGATACTGAGAGGGCCCAGTCTCAACCCTGGCTTCTTGTGCTGCAATCTTAACTGTACAGGGACTTACTGAGTGACATGTACCCCTCTGAGCTGAGACATGTCTCTCCAGCTTCTATCCCATAGCAGATCCCTAAGATACTAGTATCAGCTCTAATCTCTTCTACAGCAGTTGGGGAGCTGTCTTTTCAGTGCAGGGACCTGCTAGGAGATATGTGCGCATCTGAGCCGGCATGATAGGCACATGAGGCTCCATCTCACAGCAGATCTTGAGGAGCCTAGTATCAGCTCTGGCCCCTCCTGTTGTGACTGAGGAACTACCCAACTTGTACAGAGACCTGCTGGCTTACACATCCCTGTCTGAGCCAACGAGTTAGCCTATCAGCCTCCTTTCCACAGGAGATACCCAGGGGCCTAGTCTCATCTCCAGTCTTCCTTATACAGAGACCTGCTGGGAAGCGCACCCATCTGAGATTTATAGTCATCTGGACTCTGATTTCTGGCCAGAGTTCCTGCATAGCTCCAGTGTTCTCTTTGGATCTTCCCCATGTCTTTCTGGGCTGGAAAGCTATGTCAACCTCAGTCCTTGCAAGACATGCAGCAAGCCTGGGCTTAGAGTGTTCTCTAGATGGGTGCAATAGTCACAGGCTCAGGGAACTCTACAGACAGTCTGCTTAGAATCCCTGGAAGGCCCTCTAGAAAGATAGGCACAAATAAAGCTAGACTGCAAAGACTAAAATATATACATAATTCTGTAGCATGTAGATATCATCGCATGTCCATAAGTATTAAGAACATTCATGGAAATATGACCTCACCAAATGGACAAAATAAGATGCCAAAGACCAACCATAAAACGATGGAGATGTGTGATCTCACAAAGATTTCTAAATTGTTTTAAGGCAGTTCAACATACTTAAAGAAAACACTAAGATCAATTCAGAAACTTATCAGAGAAATTTAATAGAGAGATTGAAATCATTCTTAAAAATTAAGCAGAAATCCTAGAACTGAAAAATAGAATGATTGAAATGAAAAAAATGTAATAAAGAGCATCAACAGCAGAATTGATCACACAGTAGAAAAAATATCAGTGGGCTTGAAGATAATTTGAAAATACATAGTCTGAGGAGAAAAAAGGATGAAAAGGAATAAAGAAAGCTTATAGGATTTATAATGACATCAAAAGAACAAATATTTGAGTTATTGTAATTAAAGAGAGAACTGAGAAAGACAAGGGCTAGAAAGTTTGTTCCAGGAAACAATAACGGAAATATTTCCAAACCTGGAAAAATATACAAATGACTAGATATAGGAAGGTGGAAGGTCAAAGGTCAACAATTAGATTCCACTCAAATAAGAATTCCCCAATACATATTATAATCAAACTCTCAAAAGTCAAAGACAAAGAGAAGATCCTGAAAACAGAGAAAATAAGCAAATAATATACTAGGGAGTTCCAATATGCCTAACAGCAGATACTTTACAGGACAAGAATGAGTAGGACAATATACTCAAAATGTTGGGAAAAAAATAAAAACTAAAATCATGTAAACCAAGAATATCATATCCAGGAAAGCTATGTTAAGAAATGAAGGAGAATAAGACTTTCCCAGACAAACAAAGTTGAGGGAATTTATCACTTTCAGACCTACATACAAGAAGTGCTAAAGGGAGTTTTAAAATGGAAAGAAAAGGATGCTATCATGATTATTGCACTAATATTTAGTCATGGTATGTTAAACCACTTATATCTTTACTAAGAAGACTAAAAGACAAACTATTAAAAAATAATAACTACAACAATTTTTTAAGCAATAGGCAATATAAATATAAATTGTGACGTCAAAAATTCAAAATAGTGGTAGAAAGGAATTGATGTGTATAGTTTTTGTTTGTTTTTGCAATCAAGTTATTATCTTTTAAAAATAATATCATTATAACTATAGTAAGGCTTTGTAAGCCTTATGGTAAACAGAAACAAAAAAAAACCTATAATAGGTACCCTAAAAAAATACTAGCAGAAAAAAATAAATGCAAAGGAAGGTAGTAAGAAAGGATAAAGGAAGAGAGGAATCACACAGTAACTAGTACACAAGTAATAAAATGGTTATTATTAATAATAGCATTGAATGTGAATGGACTGAATTTTTCTATTGAAAGATACAAAATGGCTGAATAGCAAAATAGGACCTAACTATATGCTTCCTACAAGAAACTCACTCCACTTATCAAGACTCACATAGATTGAAAATGAAGTAATGGAAAAAGATATTTTATGCTAGTGCAGCCATAAAAGGATAGGAGTAACTATACTTATATCAGATGAAATAGACTTTAAGGCAAAGACTATAAAAAGAGACCAAAAAGGTCATTATATAATGATAAAGGGATCAATTCAGTGAGAGGATATAACAGTAATAAATATACATGCATCTAACACTGGAGCACCCAGATTCATAAAACAAATATTACTAGAATTTACATGAGAGATTAACTGCAATACAGTTGTAGAGGACTTCTCTCCACTTTGGCCATGGATAGATCATCCAGGCAAAAACTATAGAATCATTTCAATAGATACTGAAAAAGCATTTGATACAATTCAACATCATTTATGATTAAAAAAAAAAAAAACTCTCAACAAATTGGGTATAGAAGGAACATACCTCAACACAGTAAAGCCCATATGTGATAAACTCACAGCTAACATCATACTGAGAGGGGAAAAATAGAAAGCTTTTACATTAAGATCTGTAACAAGAGAAATCATCATAATAACCTTTTCAGTTGGTATCTCTACTTGGAGTTTGGTTTTTTTTCAAAGGTGCTCTTTACACTGCTCTCAGAGTGATCTTTGACATGTAAATCTACCCAATCATTCCTCTGCCATTTCTCACCATTGACCACAGCATAAAGTCTCAGCTTATTATCATGGTACCCATGATCTTACATCATCCTGCCCCTTCCTTTTTTCTAGCATCATACTTTCTTTCCATGCAGAACATTAAACTCTTCACATCACTCCCAACTACGCTCTGTCCCAGACACACGTGTTCATTATTCAACAAATTATCCTGTATTAAGTACTGACACTGTGACAGAAGAAGGCTTCCCCTTATGGAGTTTACTTTCTAGTGGGAAGAGAGAAAATAAGTAGAATATTCAGTAAGTTAAAAGGTGTAATGATACATGAGGAAATACACAACAGAAAAAGTAGCTGGGAAGCCTTAGGAGTGAAGATTACAGTATTAAATAGTTTTCATATAAAGTTTTATTGATGATGTGTTTTTGTTTTGTTTTGTTTTGTTTAACCACAGTTCAGCAGGGGAAGTACAGGCAAGATACATGGGTATGTTCAGGGCAAGAGAGTGCTAACAAATGGTCACGAAGGAGACTAATATGGCTGGAAAGGAGTAAAGGAGAGGAATTGGTGGTGTTAAAAATCAGATAGGAGAGCATGATACAGGATCTTGAAAGTCGTTGCAGGGTTTTGAACACAGGCATGACATGCTGGTTTACATTTTATAAGAGCTTTGTGGCTGTGGTTTTGAGAAAAGACCGAAGGAAGACAAACGACTGAAGCAGGGAAATGAGTTAAGAAGCTATTGAAAAACAGTACTGGCTGAGATAAGGATGTCAGTAATGGAGATCGTGAAAAGTTTTTGGATTCTGGATATATTTTAAAGATAGTGCCAACATAATTGGGTAACAGATTGGATGTGGGGTATGAGAGAAAGAAAGGAGTCAAGGAGGAGTCTAAGCTATTTTTCTGAGTTACTAGGAGGATGGGATGATTGTACACTGAGATAAAAAAGAATAGGAGAGGAATGGGAGATTAAGCGCTGGCTTTTTTGTTGTTTTAGATACTTGTTGGGCATTCAAGTAAATATGCTTTATACATTCTGCACATGTGACTCGAGTTTAGAGGAAAAGTGTGGGCTACACATACAAATTACTAAGCCATCAGCTTGGTATATAAAGCCAATACATCTCATTGTAATTTCTTTCTCATATTCTGACTTAGTATCTAATTCTTCACATTCCTGTAAATTTCTTTAGGTTTGTGTGTGTGTGTGTGTTTTACCTATCATTTCATTCTCTGCATCTGGAACAATAATGTCAATAAATGTCAACAATAATGTCAATAATGTCAATAAATGTCATTCTCTGCACCTGGAACAAAAAGGAAAGAATAGATAAAAGAATGATGGAGGAAGGCTTTATAAAGTGTGTCAATGAGTATCTTAATAGGCAATAGAGTAAACCATTTAAGATTTCTGAGCAGAAACTTTACTTGATTCACCTGTACCTTACAACGATTATTTTATAATAGTAACTGTGTAAAGGAAAAAACGGAGTATAGAAATGAAGTTTTCCACGGATGAATATCCAATACTTAAGGGGCAGTGAATAAAGAGACAGTGAAGAAAATAGAGTTAGCATATACTACTGATAACAGATCATCTTTCCTGTAAGGGT